TTTGTAATGCATTTTAGTTCACCACCACCACCCCCCACTATGACTTCCATATAAAACAAACATAAAGTAGAATCATTACCTTCTCTACAACGTAAGCAATCACAAAGAACGTTTAGGCGTTCAAAAAATGTAATAATAAACTTTATTTGTATAGCACTTGGACTGCAAGGTGGAACGGTAGTTAGCACTGTTGCCTCACAGCTAGAAGGTCGCGTCCTGGTGAGGACACCCGGGATCTTTCTGTGTGGAGTCTCCATGTTCTCCCCGTGCAGTGTGGGTTCTCTCCGGGTTCTCTGGCTTCCTCCCACAAGGTCCAAAAACATGTTGAGGTTAATTGGTGATTCTAAATTGTCCGTAGGTGTGAATGTGAGTGTTCTTGGTTGTCTGTCTCTAAGTGTAGCCCTGTGATAGACTGGTGACCTGTCCAGGGTGTCCCCTGCCTTCACCCTGAGTCAGCTGGGATAGACTCCAGCCCCCCATGACCCTAGTGAGGATTAAGCGGTGTATAGATGATGGATGGATGGATGTATAGCACTTTTTAGGAACAGAATTCGCAAAGTGCTTTTTCATAACAAAGAAAAACAACACACAGAGAGAAAAGGCAACACAGGAAAACAACATAGACGAAGACTCAAAATATAAAAATACACACAATAAGAATGGAAAAGAACAGGCTGGGTCACTATTGAAAGGTGCACTAGTAAAACTGAGTAAAAAGACGACATCACAGCACAGAGGGGAACTAAGATACAAGCTGAAGATAAAAGTAGATTAAGAAAGAGAAAAGAGAGAAGGACAGCAGGCAGTGGCAATAAAACAAAAAGGAAAAGAAACCGGAGACAATCTAAAAGAGAAATAAAAGAGAACTGTAATGTATGGCAGAGCTGCTGCATGGATGTACCTAATAAAAAGAACATATTGTCGGTTTGTCAGGTATTCAGGCTACATTTCCCTGAAGGAATCCTGCCTCTTGTGATTTTTTAAACGATTCCTAAATGATGTCTATTAACCAGCTGTCCTCTCCACTGGTGTACTTAGCTGCTTAGTTCATACTATGTCAGTATGTTAGCTCCTCGGGCCATTTCTGACAGCTCCAGTCCACCCACAGTCAGTGTGCGGCCCAACAATACCAGCATTCATCACCCAAAGTCCAGAGACAGAAAATGCAAAGAGGCCTCTAATCAGCTTGTGAAAGAGCTCCTCTGTCTCCATCCTCCTGCCGTCTCTCTCTTCCTTTCCCTGTTCACACTTATCTCACCATATCAGTGTAGACCGCTGGAACAAAATTGAGTCATTTTTTTTTAGAATATATTTAACAAGAACCAAATATGTTGAACCATTCTGCCAGCTTGCTTCAGCCAGAAGAATTTCCACCCATTGATCGAGTGATGATTCTGTCAGCGTGGACGGTTCGAGATGTAAAAATAAGAAGCGAGCATGTGTTTTGAAGCCGTTTGCATGCAGGCAGCAGCGTGCACTTGTGTCTTTACAACGTGAAAGTTTTCTGGTGGGAAATGTTTTGTCCGTCTCTAGTGCCTCTTTTCTTGAAGTGAGCCTGTCACCGGCCTCAGGCTGATGAATATTCACACAAGTGACAAAAGAGCGCTCGCATAAACAAAGTTGAAGCCAATTAGTCTCCAGAAAAAGAGAGAGAGAGAGAGAGGGGCACCGATTCACCGTCATTCACAATCGCCGAGCTTGTGTGTCCCGCGCTTGTTGCGTACGAAAAGAGAAACCGACGCCAAAGTCATCCGTGGCAAATCGATCTGAGCTTCGGCCGTCACGGAGCTGCTAATTGAGGTGGCCCTACATCGCAGCATTTCAATCCCAACCGGGGAATGTCGGCCAAGGTGTGGCCTTGTGCTGATGCTGGAGGTCGCGGGTTCGCGTCTCTCTTCTCCCCGTCTGTGCGGAGCAACAAAAGGGCAGGCTGGAAATTCACACCCATCTAAACAAAAGATGGATTGTTTTATGTTCTTCTTGACCTCTGAGTTGTTTTCCCACTCGGAACCTTTCACCCACTTTGCTCAGACCGTCCCACTTCTGTCACAGGAGAAAGTCCACCGTCGTGCGCTGAACGCAAATCATCGTCCTGAGCTGACATGTGTTTGTACCGCTGTGCTGAACTCCAAGTTAATAGTAGTGGTGGGACGCGATTTAAAAAAAAATTTGAATTAATTAGAGGCTTTGTAATGAATTAATCACGTACTAATTTGACACAATAAGCAAAGTAAACAGACATATATGTGAACTCAGACAATAAAATTGTTCATTTTTCATCTACTACACTCACAGATTAGTGCAAACTCAAAGTGCAATTACAGCTATTATTCAACATTTGAAGACTTCTTGTCTCTTTGTTGCACAATTTTCTCACAACCATGCTCACAAACTTTCCACCCAAAAAGCCGAAAAAAAAGGAAAAGCTAACTTTCTGCCCAACAAGACAAGCAACACAGTCTGGTCTTCCATCACCAAACTGTCGTGTGCGCTGACGTCACTCAATTCATCCCATAG